GTGGCCGGGGCCGCCGCGGCGCTGGGACCGGCCCCGTGCCCCGCCCGGGAAGCGGCGGCCGGGGCAGCGGTGACACTTGGCGTCCGGCTCCCCAAGAGCTGCCTCCCCCTCCGCACCCCGCGGCCCGGCCCGTTGCGGTGTCCCGGCGGGGGACCATCGGTAGCCCCCTGAGGGGAGACGGGGTGTGCGGGGCGGGGGGCGCCGCGGCGGCTCCGCACGCTGCCCGCCCTCTCCCTGAGGATGCTTTAACTTCCACATAATCGAACTTTTTTCTTTTTTTTTTCTTCCTCCCTGTTCGTTTTCAGTGAAAAGCGTGACAGAAGGGGTGATGTAAAGCGTGCCTCGTGAGGCAGAGCCTTTTTTTCCCGTTCCCCTGCTAATTCAGCCGTACCCCTCCTATTTATTTTCATCTTCTGCCCTGTTGCTTTCAACATTTCTACCGCTGGCGTGGGGGCATCACTCACCTACCTCTGCTCGTGGTAGAAGGGGGAGATGACTACTTGCTGATGAGCAAATCTGGGGAGAATGACTTTTTTCTTTGTTTTCTTTAATTCCATCCAGGAGAGGCCGTAATACCCTACCTACCCCTAAGATAGTCAAGTTTGCCTTGCTGCCAAACAGACTTTAGTGCTTGGGGGCAATGATGTTCTCAAAAAATACTTTGTTAGAATAGGTGGTCTGATAGCAAATGGACTGTTTTTTTTTTACTTTGGATTTTCTTCATTAATGCACGCTTCCATGTGTTCATTAGCTATAATATTCTGTGGAGAATTCAAGCTCTGCAGCGTAGACTTAGGGACTACAGAGAAAACAGCACTTTCAAAATCTGGGTAAGAATGCTTGGAAGAACCAGTATTGTACTAAAATAACTGATGCTCTAGGAGAACTAGTTCTTTGGAAATTAGTTTGAATGGTGCATTTGAGATGAAAAAAGATATATTTGTTGTACTGGTGCCTTGTTTATTGGATGGGTAGATAGCTGGTAAGATACTGACTCCCTGGTCTGTTTGAAGGTGACGGGGCTGGAATAACTGCAGTCTTCTCTGTGTGTGGATTGAATTCCTTCATTATGGAGATAATTAATTGCTGTGGTTGACTGAAAGTGGCTCAGAGTACCCTTTGCTCAAGCGTGGTGCTGTTGCTTTAGATGGTATTGCCTGCATCTTAGAATCATAGAATGGTCTGGGCCAGAAGGGACCTCCAAAGGCCATCTAGTCCGACCCCCCCGCAGTCAGCAGGGACACCCCCAACTAGACCAGGTTGCCCAGGGCCTCGTCGAGCCTCTCCTTGAATATCTCCAGGGATGGGGCCTCAACCACCTCCCTGGGCAACCTGTTCCAGTGCTCCACCGCCCTCACAGTAAAGAATTTCTTCCAAATATCTAATCTAAATCTCCCCTCTTCCAGTTTAAAACCATTACCCTCATCCTATGACTACACTCCCTGATAAAGAGTCCCTCCCCAGCCTTCCTGTAGGCCCCTTCAGGTACTGGAAGGCCGCTATTAGGTCTCCCCAGAGCCTCCTCTTCTCCAGGCTGAACAACCCCAGCTCCCTCAGCCCATCCTCATAGCAGAGGTGCTCCAACCCCCCAATCATTTTAGTGGCCCTCCTCTGGACCCGCTCCATCAGGTCCATGTCTTTCCTATGTTGAGGGCTTCAGACCTGTACACAGTCTTCATCTGGGCTTCTAAACTGGTTGTGATAGTAAAGTGTGCAGCTGGAGATGGCTTAAGTTCAGAGCTGAGATGCTGCTGTAACTTCTATTAAAGGCATAAGGAGAAGAAGTTCACACTTGATGCCTTGGTATGTCCATTTATTTTAACAGCAGTTACGGTTCTACCGAGTACTGAATAATTTCAATATTTGAGTACTGGTAGAAATTAATTCTTTAAAGTAAAAGCTTGAGCTACACCCCTATAGAAATAAAATTTTTGCTCAAGCATTGCCACTGGCACTTGTCTTCCAGCGAATACCTGCAAAAGAGGAACTATGCCCAGAAGAGAAGGATCTCTTCAAATTAATAGCAGAAAAAGAAATAGTTCACTTGGAAAAAGTGGTGAGGGAACAGCTGTGTGTTAAGGGTGAATTTTTCAAAACAACTTATTGTCAGTTTGTGTTATCTATGTCTTTTTGCCCTCTCAGCTGGTTTATCCGAGATAAATCTTGCTGCTGCAGAGTGATGTTTAGCAGAAAATTCAACCTTCTGAAAAAAACCCCCAAGAAGTACCTGGGAAATAAAGCCCTTCTGAGCAGAACCTCGGGTGCCTTAGAGAAGAATTTTGTATTGTTTCCACACTTGCTCTGTAGTTATGGACAGTGGGAGATGAGGCTTGGTGTATGATTTGTGTACCACAGTATCTTCCTGGGCTCTGAAAGCTGCTGATGTTATCGAGTGTATGCGATGCTATACAGCCAATTGTGTAGTTTCTGTATGGCAAGTGTATTGCCAAATAGGTTGTTTGCCTTTTAAGACCGCAGATAAACTACTCCAAATTGTTTTAAAATTGATTACAAGGAAGTCACATGCTTAATTTTTGGAATTTCTTAGGATTAAGTAACAAGCTCGTGGTTGCCTTCACTAAACATAGATCAGTGCTAGCTCTTGCCACATGACAAATCTTGATGTCAGTGAAGGATTTCAGTTCTCTTTTGCTTCTTTATTGCTTGTCTTTAAAATATGGCTGTCACCAACTCTGTTTTGAAGCTTAAAAAGGAAAGTTTCTTCCTGCTAATACTAGCAAATATTTCTACTCTTGGTCTTGCTTTCCTATAGTCCTATATTTAATTTTCAGTAAATCAGTATTCAACTACAGTTACTCTTGTTCTTACTTCAGTGCTGCTGATTGTTTTCCAGTAAACAAGACTATTATGGTGATAGGATATCATGGGAGAGCATGTGCTGTGATTTATGTTGTGTCTTTGAAAGACTGAGAGATTCATATTTGAAAATGGGGAAAATCTCTTCCTTCATTTCAGATTAAATAAACGAAAACAAGAGGAACGGGGAATGTTGAGAGAACCAGTTCATCTTCTTTCCTTTGCCAGCTTTCTGGGATTTGTGCACAGCGCATCCTTTCCAGCCTTGTTTATGTTGATGGGGAAACAGCATTAATTCTTACAACAGTAGTAGTGGCTGAGGTTGGACTCTTATTATGGCAGTGATCAGCACTCCTGGGTGTGAGGGTATCAGTTCCTGAAGGTTGTTGTGCCCCAGTCTGAGCTGAAACAACAATGTTTTTATGAGGAGGCTGAGCGAGCAAGCCCCTGTCATACAATGAGGGCTCTTTAGGGTACTGGGCTCAGCATCCTTGTGCGAATTAGGAGTGGTACAAGGGACGTAACCGCTCGCTTACGTATAATTACTTGTGATTTTGGGTTCACTTTTCAGAAGCTCATCTTAACAACTTGGGAGAACCACTGGAGTACAAGTCAGCAGATAGAAGCTTTCAGCCGTTAGGTGACGTGTGCTCCTCAAAATTCTTCCTCCGGGGAGATAAACAGAGCTTGATATCGCGGTTGGTGGGCCAGGATTTCAGCCTGGAAATATCAAATCATTTCCTTTAAATCAGGATATGATATATGAACTTAGTGCTGTTGAGCCTGTGCACTGTTAAGGCAGGAAGTGAAGACGTTTTTAATTGTAGAGGAGAGTTGATGGGATCTCTTGCAGCTATAGGAGAGCAGCAGTGAATGGCAGTGCAGCGTTGCATCGCAGCGTTCTGTGAAATTATAAGTGATAGAACTAAGCATTCCTTCTCTTATTTAAAGCATACACAAATAATCCATCATGCTCGTGTCCCAGGAGGCAGAGAACTTTCAAAATGTGTTGCAGGCAGTTAACTGGCCTCTTAGCAGAGGGAGGTATTTGGGAGTATGAGCTGTGCAGAGCACACAGCTGTTGCCACAATAGCTTTTCTCCAGCTGTCATGCAGAGGTCTGTCACAAAATACCCCACATTCCCTTCTAACTCAGCCCTTTGTAATATTCAGGTTTCCTTGCTCAAAGCGAGTACAGCCCAGCAAATACCTCATCACCCCTTGCACTTTTTTTTTTATCCTGCAGTTGCCATTTATTTCATGCTTTTTTTTTTTGGTTAAACTGAACAATGTATAGCGCGTATCAGTACTGTGCAGCCAGAAAGCTGCTAATGTTTTATTCTTTCAAATCTGCTCTGCAAAATAGTGGATGCTTTTGATCAGAATTGTTAAAATTATTTGTCATACTGTTTTTCCTCTTGATAAAGATATAGCTTTTATTTTGTGACAATGACATGTATATTTTTGCATACTGAGTAGGCTTTAGTGGCTTACAAGAATGTATTAGTTAATAAAAGTTACTAGAACCCTGAGATGGTATTGACTAGATATAATTTAGTGGGGCTGAGTTGAGCTTAGTTTGTCCATCAGCTTAATGTTAACTATGGTAGTGCATGAGCATGTTTGAGACTGTGAAACCACTTAATGTGATATAAAATGTATGTAGGGGTTCAGTGTTTGGTGCATTTGTTTGGTGTTTTTTTTATTTCTTTACTGAATTTTTTTTACTATATTTACAAGCTTAGTTCTTGCTGCTAAATCTGTAAAACAAATATTTTTCCTACTGCTCTTAAACTGTCAGTAACAAGTTGTGATTGGAGCTGAGCTTACTGTTCTGCTAGCTAGTGAGTAAAATGAGTTGGATGTAGATTTGTTGACTCTTTAATGTTAATATCAGACACTTGTCTGAAAGCAAGCATATATGGCTTGCAGATGGGTGGTGAGCAGCTGTTCAGGCTTCTTTTTCTCCTTTTTCCTTTCCTTTTCCAAGCTGCTACTTTCACAAGACTGTTAATTCCCGTTAACCATCAG